ACTCCCGAACAGCAGTGTTTTGCCATCGAGTGTCTGGAACTAAAATCGGACACTCGAGTAGGCGAACACCGCTGAGACCTCCATAGCACCGGGAAATTGTGCTACAACTACCGAATGACAGGCTGTTCGGTAGAAAGACTTAATAGCCTATGGGGATTCCGGCGAACGTTGGGTTACGTGTGGATGGTAAGCCGTTCGGGACTTTTTACGCACGAACCAAGATCGACCGCAAGGCCAGAATTCATGGAACTGTTTTCGGCTACTTTGTCCATGTGGTCGTTCAAAACTTTCAAGCTCCATATCTCCCGAACGGCTAAACCGAATGGGCTGAATTTTGACTATGTTGGTCCCCCAGAATAGGGCTATCTGGGGATTTATGCCTGTACCCCAAGTATTTGGGGTACATCCGAACTTTGGGGAAAAATGTGTTCTTGTTAATTATGTTATTAGCTTATCTGAGGGGAGGAGATGTGTGGGATGTACCTTATGTTTTATTGGTTGTTCTGTTAATTATGTGGGTGTCTCCCTTTGCATGGGCAGAATCCCATAAAAAGAGAGTGCCTGTCATTAAAATCCAGTTCTTCTTGACCCCTCAAAACGTAGCCTTGTCTCGTTCTTGAAAGGGGATTCTGCAGCATAATCACTTAGCTCTTTTCAGAGCTCTACCTGACTCCTGCCTTAGATCCAATGGATGGGAATATGCGACTCCATTACTTTACAGCGACTTGCCGGGAAGAAAAGGATGTCTCCAATGGCTGATACCCTCTCTCTACCTGGGTAGCCGTTACATGCACCCACACTTATTACATATCATTTTGTTCAGGAGAAACAGGGCTTTAACTTCTCATGAACTATTCATATATGAAACATAACTTATTATGAATTAAAAAAAAAAACTGAGAAATTAAGATTAAAAAAAAAATTGTAGTTCTACCTGACATTTTAGCTGTAAATGTCATGATACTGTTTGCTTTTACTGCAATAAAAATGCACATATTTGTATTGAGCAAAGTCACGAGTAAAACAGTACCCCCCATTAACAGACTTTTACGGTGTTTTGGAAAGTTACAGGGTCAAATATAGCACATTCCATTTTTCATTTTATTCACTTTAAAATTTGCCAGATTAGTAATGTTACCTTTGAGACCGTGTGGTAGCCCAGGAATGAGAATTACTCCCATTATGGCATACCATTTGCAAAAGTAGACATCCCAATGTATTGCAAGAGGGGTATGTCCAGTCTTTTTTAGCAGCCACTTAGTCACAAACACTGGCCAAAGTTAGCATTCATATTTGTTTTTGTGTGAAAAAAGCAAAAAACTAATATTTGGCCATGGTTCAATGTGAAAAAAAGTAAATGCAAGCCTTATATTTGACTCTCCAAAACACCATGAACCCTGTACAAAGGGGGTACTCTTGTACTTGGGAGACTTCACTGAACACAAATATAAGTGTTTCAAAACAGTAAAACATATTACAACAATAATATCGTCAGTAAAAGTACAGTTTTGTTTTTTTTCTTCTCTTTATTCAGCATGCATACACACATTAACCTGTTCTGGTTAACCTTTGGCTAACCCGTTTTCATTCATAATGCTGTCTTTAACATTCCACACTCATATACATTTAAGACCATGTAATCACACTTTATTTTTTTCTCCTCCATACATGCTTTTAATTTTACTCCGATTTTTTTCTCTTTTAAAACAACTTTGCCGTTTCTAGGCAACACTTGGTGGCTGTGCTTTATGTCACTTTTCGGCAGTATGCTTGACAGTCCTCGGTTTGCGGCTCTATTCACAGAGCAGACCGGACAAACAGGGTGCACTTGGTGATTGGGTAAGTTTAACACATTAGATTGTATATATTTGAGATTTTCATATGTCATAGCATCTTGATAAAGACCGCTAGACGGTCGAAACGTTGATTTATATGCGTTTGATTTTATATATTTTTTTGTTTACTAAATCCAATGAGTGCTCTCAATTTGTTCCATTTGTATATTTTGCACGGAGAGGCACCTGGTCATTGCTGAATTAATGCTTTTGCTATGGGATGAGTGCCAGAAACTATTGTGATTTTTATATATATATATATATATATATATATATATATATATATACTTTTAATTGATTTTAAAACATGTTTAATAATTTTTTATTATTCTTCCCACTAGCAGGGGGACTGTCTGACATTTCAGACAGTCCCCCTGCTGGCAGATCCACAGCCAGCTATAGGGGTCCATGTGATCGCTCTTTGAGAGCGATCACATGGCCCCCGGGGGCCTGATTTGGCATGGAAGGGCTGCCTGGGCTGTCAGGCAGTCCTCCCGAAGTGGAGCGCCAGGAAGGCAAGTATCCCAGCGGCTCCAGGGCTCCGTTACGGTGTTCTATGCCGCCGCAATGGCTTTAAAGCCCATTTAATGCAGGACGGCATTAAGGGGTTAATAAGTAATCAAGATTACTTATTAAATACACAATTGAAAATTTCCTAAGGAGTGCTCTGTTCACTATTTGCTTTATGTGTATGTGTGTATATATATATATATATATATATATATATATTATTTGTAATTATTTTTATTTATATATAGGTAGATACTTTTCATTCAAGTGTGTGTGTGTGTGTGTGTGTGTGTGTGTGTGTGTGTATATATATATATATATATATATATATATATATATATATATTATTAAAGAAAAGAGGAGTCAGAAGTTGTAATCCAATATTTTTTTAATTAGAAAAGCAAGTGGGAGAAGCAACAAAGCAGAGGCAGCCCAGGTTGTTAGGAGCAGTCCTGGGAGGATATAGTGCAGAGGAGAATGAACCAATGTATATTCAGGGGAAGGATAGGGAAAACCAGGAGGAAATTGAGAATGTAACAACCTACGATGAACAGCGTCAGTTGTGTTCACATTGTGGATGATAATGAGAAATAAACATCTGAGTGCATTCTTCCCGCAGATATCTATTCATCATCATCATCCCTTCTGGGAAGACCCTGCGCACGTCGTTCACGAACTAGGCTATCTACATCAGCAATGGTTATTATGGGCGCGCATTAGAATGCACTCTTCCTCC